GTCTTGGAAGACAAAAGAAAAATGAGGAGGAACCCAACAGAGGGATGCTTTTTGAAGCCCTTGTCAAGAAATTCCAATGGACTCATATGAACATTTGAAATTTGCCCTGTTCTTTTTTCTAGTTCCCTGGCTAGAACTTGTACTGCTCATTACTCTTGCCTTTACTTCTCCTTCATATCTCCTATTCACGATTCAAGGACTTTCTTTTCCCCTTAGAGATAAGAGTTATGCAATTTGGGAGTCTTTTAGATAGAGCCACTGAAGAGGCACTCCAATTGCCTCACCCTGCATCCCTCCCTGTTCAGCATGGAAGAAGCCAGAGCAGTCTGCGTTGTATTCCCTATTGGTAATTTGGGTAACCTCTTCAGAGAATGGTGTGATAAGAACAGGAAGTAGGAATTGGCTAGGCATTTAGGGTAAAAAGACCCCAAAGAAAAGTAGCCAGTTTCTTGGCTAAAAGTCAAAATGTCCTTGGGCCTCTTAGCAACATTCTCTGTTTCAAAGGCCAAAAATGTTGAAAGTATTTGGGAGCTTATATCTAACCCTTAAAAGATTTTAGGGTTACCTCTTCAGAGGGGGGAATGTTAGAGTAGCCAAAAGCCCCATAAAAATAAAGAAGAAAGAGTACGTGAACTTACCAGAAAAAAATGACGGGGAGATATGGGAGGAGTTGGAGGGGAGGGAGTGGGCATGGACTTGATCAAAACACCTTATATGCATGTATGAAATTCTCAATAAATTATTTATTGAAAAAAAATGAAATGAGGTAATTTCTAGCTAAAATCCTTCATTCCACATTTAGACAGACTTGTCTTACTTCTGCAGGGGACAGTGAGCTATTAATAAAACTTAGCAGCACCTGAATGCCAGCACAACTGATAATGGACAGTGAAGGGCCAGAACACTCCCTGGACCTTTCTCCTCAGCTAGGACACCAAGCTGCCCTGGGTTAGGAGGCTCTGCTTCCCTCAGGGGCATGCAGAGAGGGCAGGCAAACAAGAACTTGCCTGTTTGTTCCGAGGTCATATGAGGAATGGCTAGTGGTACCACCATGGTTAGCCTCTGCACCTCCATGATGGTGGCCTCCGTGTATGGCATCCGGGCCTTGTCCATGAGGGAAGGTGCACGGTCACAACCAATGACACTTTCAATTTCTTCATGAACCTTTTCTATGCAAAAAGGAAAAAAGAAACCACAGATAAGCCTCGGAGAGTTGAGTCAGCACTGTTATGCACACTTCCCTTTTCCATTTGCCCACAAGGGATGGGATGGCAATGACGGCCTGATTCAGCACTAGTCATGGATGCCAAGTGGAGTTGGGGGGTTGTGCCACACCAGGACTTTGGAGGATAGTGGAACAGAGGGACCAAAAAAGTACTTTCCATGCAAGGGGGGAGGGGCTATAGTACACTGTCATGTGACTATGGGTTGATGCTCTAGGCTGTGATATCATGAGACAGCCTAAGGTGGTCTCCAATGAGCCTCGCCCATGGGGTTTGCTATAGTTTGCAAAAAGATCATCCTCAAAGGCCTGTGGTCACAGATCTCTTCTTCCAAGTAATGTTATGGGGTAGAAGCTGATGGGAGGGTTTAGGTCACAGATGGGGTGCCCTTGATGAGGTGAGACCCTGGAACTTCCTCCTTCCCTCTCTTTCGCGTCTGCCATGAGCAGACTCCCCAGCAATGATGTGCTGCCTCACCACAGATCCCAAAGCAACAGAACCAACTGGTCAGGAACTGAAACCACAGAAACCATGAGCCAAAATACTGTCTTGGTTGGCTGGTAATCACGTTTTGTTGTAGCAGTGGAAAGGTGACTAAGACAGGGTTCATCTCCTGGTGCGTTCCCTCCCATCTTGTACTGGTTAGTATATACGACCAACAGACAGGAGAAGCCACAGTGTGCCATTTCTTACAGTATTAAAGAGAAGGGATAAGAAAATGGCAGTTCAGGAAAGGAGTGGGCACATTACCCCTCAGACGATGAGCTTCTTAGGAGAGGGGGCCACGCAACCATGGAGGCAATGTATGTGCCTACTCTTGGGTCATGGTGTAGGATGGCATTACAGAAGCAGCATGACAGGGACATAAGCTGAGAGGACATTTTAGACATGATTAGCTTAAGGTAAAAAAGAGTAAAAGATAATCTGCCACAGACAGCATGACAGGGGAACCCGGAAAAGGGGAAGCGAGTGTGGAATGGAGAAAACTGCACCAGCCAGAGTGTGAGACAGCAAGGAACACAGAAAAAGAGCTCACAATAGAGCGAGAAGGATGCACACGTGTGGTGCTGGGTAGGGTGGGCGCCAAGCAAGCAGACATAGAGGATCACTGCTTATAGCTTTTCCTGGGGAGAGGTGTCTGGGCTAGCCTTCTTATCTCAACAGGGGGTGTGGAGACAGCCCAATTTCTCTAGGCCATAGAACAGGTCTTAAAGAGGCAGGCCCATGATTTAACAAGCAGCTCCCGCCTCTGTTCCTCTCTCAAGTCTCTCCCACAGGGGAGGACAGCTGCCAAGTCAGGCAGCCTAATGGAAAGGTCATGGTGGGAAGGCACTGGGGCTGCAGCCAGTAGCACGTGGATTGCCACTTTGGAAGTGGACCCATAGACTGGTTCAAGTCAATAGATGACTGTGGCCCAGTCGATACTTTGAATGTAACGTCATTAAAAAACCCTGAATTAGAATCATCCAGATTTAGCTCCTCCTGGATTCTTGATACTCAGAAACTACAAAATATCAAAGTTGCTGCATTAAGCTGCAAATTTTGGGGGTAATCTGTTACTCAGCAATAGCTAATTAAAAGAGGGAGCTACAATGATGTCCACAGTAGATGTCCTTCAAGGTGTCCAGAGCTCTATTCCTTGGTACTTTGTAAATATGTCATGTTAAATGGTGTCTTCATCCAGTTTTGGTTGTTGCAACAAAAAACTTGAATCTAGATACTTTATAAAAAAAAAAAAAACTCAGATCAGTTTTGGAGGCCAAGAGTTCAAGAACAGGCAGCCCACCTGTTCAGCCATATCACAACATGGCAGATGGCATCATGACAAAAGTACGATCATATGGCCAGTAGGAGGCCAGAGAGACCCAGGGGCCATGGCTGTACCTTTTAGAGCCCACTCCCATGGGAACCAGCCAGTCCTATGAGAATCACATGACTCACTGCTGATACTAACAGACCACAGAGCTGATGACGGGAGAGGCCGAGGGGGCATCTCGGCGCTGTTATTTCTCACTGCAGAGTTAAATTCCTCAATAATTCTGGGATCCAAACTAAGCTTTCCAAAGACACCAAGACCTTATCACCTTGCTGCAGTTGCCCCTTATAAGGTTTTATCACCTCAATATGACAGACACCACCGAGGACCAAACTTCCAGCACATGAACTTTTGATGGAGGGGAGGAGGGGGTACTTTCAAACTGTATCAAACTGACAGCAGACAGCAAAAGGGATGACACAGATGAGACTAAATTAAGGACCTGAACGGGCCTGGTGGCACACGCCTTTAATCCCAGCACTTGGGAGGCAGAGGCAGGCGGATCTCTGTGAGTTCAAGGCCAGCCTGGTCTACATAGTGAGTTCCAGGACATCTGGGGCTACAGGGAGACCCTGCTTCAAAAAGACAAAAAAAAAAATTAAGGACCTGGACGTGGGGGGAGTATACAGGGTTATTAGGTGTACCTAAAATAAGCACAATCACATGGTGTATAATGATGTTTCAATCAACAGCAGGCCATATACACAAGCATGGTCCCATAAAGTTATATTGCCTAGTGATAGTATAGTGGTCTTAGTGAAGTGTGCTCTGTGAAATTCACACAATGAAGAAATCATCTAATGTACATTTCTCAGAACATATCCCAGTTACTAAGCAACATGGGTTTTAAACTCTTCCCCCAGAATTGAGAGTCAGTGGGAGATATGACTAAGAAGCCCAACACTGCAGCTTGGCTTGCTCTGAAGATGGAAGAGGGGCCACAAGCCAAGGAAGCTGCAAAGAGCAGCCAATAGAAACCAACGCACTGCGCTGCCTATCAGTCGCTAGTGCTGTCCTGCTGCTGCTCACTCTCCACAGGGTCTGTGTGGTGCTAGCTGTGACATTTGCTGACTTGTTTGGGCTTGTGATCTCCATTTTCAAAAGAAAAGGAATGTATTCAGGTGGTCCCTTTAGCTCTGGAATGTCCTACTTCTCTAACAATCTTTCACTCTCATAGATTTCTCAGAGAATCAGACTATGGAGAGGAGAGCGGGGGTGAGCGAGCTCTGGCACAGGTCCTTCCATCTGGAACTTGAGCTTTTACCAACATCCTACAAAACACAAACAGTTATTCGGTTTTCCAGACTGAAAACATCAGTGCTTGGGGCCACAGAGGTTGCTATTCCTGACCTTAAAGAACCTGGTTTACCAGGAAGAAAGAGCACATCTATTAATTACTTTGCACATCAGGGTTCAGTGCCATGTACAACAGGCACCAAAGCAGAGAGTTGGTTGTGGTATCTGTTCCAGCAATGAAAAGATCCCCAATGATATAAAACAAGTAATCCTCATTGAAGCTGCTGTTGCTGCTGTTTTTCCTCTCCTCCGCCATGTGCAGAAGGTACATGTCTATGAAGTCCTGGGGGTTGCTGGCGTCCAGAGACTCCTGGTGATCTTTGATGATGTTTTTAAGGAAACAGGTTATGTCCTTTTCAATTTGTCTTAGCTCCTTAAATGGCCCAAAGGGGAGGTAGTAAAGCCAGGAGCATACATTGACCAGGAGGAGCTGGCTGTTCAAACAGATTTCTAACCCTCGAGACATAAAGTCGAGCATCTTCTTGAACTCCCTGTTGGTGTAATCAAAGCGGTGGCCAAAGCACAAAGAGCAGATGATGTTTGAGACGGCATTGCTGATGATGGGGAAAGGGCTGAAGGGGGCTTCCCCATGCTTCTGCATTTCCTCCTTCACATACTGGAACTCCGCAATAATCTTGGGCTCCAGGCTAAGCTTTCCCAAACCAAAGTGACGAAGGGTTGAGTGAGAGAATTTCCTCTGCTGCTTCCAGACTGGACCATAGTGCGCAAACACAACTCCTGCAAAAGGATGCCAAGAAAAGAAAGTCAGAGAGAACACTGCCTGTATTTTTCAAATCTCTTATGCAAAGTTCATATACAGGGAAAGACCACCAGTCAAGAATGATCAGCAATGGGGTGGGAGAGATGGCTCAGTGTGTAAGAGTGCTTGCTGCTCTTCTAGAGGAACCAAGTTTGGTTCCAACTGCTGGTTCACAACTGCCTTAAATTCCAGATGTTTCTTCTGGTAACTAGTTCATCTATTTTCTGTGACGTCCTTCCTTCATCATTTCAGCTGGTTCTCCATCCTTCCCATATGCACTGGTCACTTTTATTGTTGTTGTGACTAAATATCTGGAAGCTACTGAAGGGGGAAGGTTCATTTTGGCTCATGGCTTGGGAGGGTGCAGTCTTAAGGGCGGGAAGGCGTGCAGTGTGAGGAGCTCAAAGCAGTGGCAGTGGAGGTTGCTTGCTTACATCTTGTCAGATCAGAAAGCACATTTGGACCACAGTCAGGGCTGGGCTCCGACCCACAAAGAAGGCCCAGTGGCCCACTTCCTCGAGCTGGGACCTACCTCTTAAGTTCCACAACCTTCCAAACAGTAGCACAAGCTAGGACCATGTATTCAAACACGAGCTCAGGGGAAACTTCCCACTTGAACCCAAACACCATGCTATTCCTGAATGCTTACTGTGTCAGGCTCTGGGGTACAGGATTCAACTGCAGATGAAGCGAAGACCTAGCTCTGTGGTTGAGTTTCCTCAGACTTCAAGGGTTGGGTATAGCTCAGTAGTGCAGTGTGTGAGGAGCATGCACAAGCCCTGGGTCCAACCTCCAGCACCACAGGGGAAAAGAGAAGCATTTCAATGTAAACATCTACATGGTCAAATGCATGTCGGAATATGTATTTATTCCACTGGACTTCCTCCACATTTTACATATACCACTAAGAGTGGATTGATGAGTCATGAAATATGTGTATCTTCAACATGACTAGACAGCGACAAATCACTGCCTGAGTGTACCAAAAACACTTCCAAAAGTATATGAACGGCTTGTTTTGTTTCAAAGAGTTTCCATCACTTGATACTTGCACTATTTTTGTTTTTGCCAATAAGAGGAAGAAATGCACCTCATATGGTTTTCCTTCACTCCCCGTGGACCGTCAGCACGCGTCAGAACAGCGCTTTCCCGTCGCTGCCAGGCTTCCTAGTCCCTGATTTACTCTCACCTGCTATGTGAGAATTTCTTCTATGTATTTTAAGTACATAGTATAGCTCCTCTCTCACCATGTTTTTTTTTTTTTTCCTACTTTTCAATGGTATTATCTGGCAAACAAGTTTTTAATTATACATTTTTTTTATTTTTTGTTGTTTTTTGGGGGGAGGCAGGTGTTGCTCTGTAGTCTAAGGTGTTCTAGAACTGTGCACAGCCACACTCAGCTGTTTATGTGGCTGCTATGGGTCCTCATATTGCACATGCTCTTCCTCACTGAGCCCTCTCTCCAGTTCCCCAATAACCTAGTTTAAGGGCAGCTTAGCACACAGTCCCCACCCTCCATTTGCATGCCCCATCCTCCTTCCCACCATCCTCAGCACCGCCTCTGCCATACACCTCCTATGCACAGGTGGGCTAGTTTAATAGGCTTTGTAGTCTGCTATATTGTCTGCTTGTCTGTCCTGTGCTTAAAACAATTACTGTTATTTATAAATGCAAAAGACTGTTAATTAGTCTAGTAAGAGTAAATCTTACTAATATTTCATTAAGAAATGTTTTAATGTCTACTAGGAAAACCCCTCCCTCCCTGAAAACCAGTTTGGCCCTCTTCGAAGTTGACTTTACACTTTTTTTCTTCTTTTTTTTTTTTGGTCTTTTTGAGACAGGGTCTCCCTGTAGCCCCAGCTGTCCTGGAACTCATTATGTAGACCAGGCTGGCCTTGAACTCACAGAGATCTGCCTGCCTCTGCCTCCCGAGTGGTGGGACTACAGGCATGCACCACCACGCCCGGCTTACTTTGGATATTCTTGACTCTTATTCTTTTATAATTAGCTTGTCACCTGTATAGGAAAGCTTTTTGAGTTACTGAAATTGCATTTATCACAGATTAACTTGATAATTGCCTTCTTTATGGTAGACTCATACTTGAATTTTAAAAATCCATTCTGGTCGTCTGTCCTTATCCTGTAAAGTTAGTCCTTTCACGTGCATTGCAATCACTGACTTATTTCTAACCTATTACTCAGCTTTCTGTTTGTCTGCTGTGTTCCTTCACTCCCCATGCCCTCTCTTTCTTGCCTTTAGAGAAACAGTCATTGTTTCCTCATTCTTCCATTTATAACACGCTTACAGCCTAATTCAACAAACTAAAGTCTGGAGGCCATCTATAGCCTGTACCTGCCTTTTTAACGGCTAGGGAGTTGAGACTGGTTTTCACATTTATAAATGCCTAGAGGAAAAAATAAACAGCAGAATACTTTTGTGATAAATAGACGTCATTGTGAAACTCAGATAGCAGTGTCTACACATACGGTTTACCTGGAACACAACATAGTACACTGATTTGTTTACTACGGTCTGTGGGGCTTTATAGTCAAGGAACTGCAACTTCAACTGAAGGAGGGTAGGCAGGGAACACCCTCTCTGCCAGGTCCAAACCAAGACATAAATTTCCTTATTTTCTTTCACTAGTGGCCAGGTTAGTTGGGTATTCTTTGTCTAAATTTCATTCAGATTGAAATCTTCAAGAGTCCTTTCTTAGTCCAGATGCATCTTGCATGGCCACAAGCCTCAATCCTCAACTCATCTCTAGCCATGAGGTGAGTGAAATGCAAGGCAATCCACGGCATTTGTTTTCTTTTCTGCAGAGGCTGCCGTGGTCTTAGGAACTGAAACTGGACCTGCAGTTTACGAAGATTTCAGACTCTTCCTGTTTTCAGCCCAGAAGCTCACTCCTGCCTCCTCCAATCACTGGTGCCTCCAATTCCTGAGCCTTTCCAAGGCCTTGAAGGGGGAGCACTCTTCACTTCATTCTTATACTCCACAGTGCCCCCGCCCCTGACGCTGAGGTATGGGTGTGTCTACTCTTCTGCCATCCACCAATTCTAGATCAAACTCATCCTTCAGAAACTGTGGACAGGGCTGCAGCCATCTCTCTATCATTGTGGATGGCATGTGTGCTTCTGTTCAGAGGGCTTCTGGGTTATCATGTGTCACCACAAAGAAGGAATGAGAATTGCTCATTCGTCCTTAAAATCCAGAACTTTCTCTTCGTTTACTGAAGCCCCAATAAACAATTTCCTAGGCAACTAAAGTTAGTCAACTCTTCCTGTCTTTAAGTTTGCCAAAGTCATGAAGATGGAAGTAAGCAACCAGTTCAGAAGTTTCTCAAGTATCAGATGGGAAACAATTGTGGCCTGGATGCCAGTGGAGATGGAGAAAAGTGGTGGGACAGGAGACACCATCTGAAATAGGAAGTGACAGGATTTGCAGACTGACTGAAAGGGCATAGGATGGATCTTAAGATAGAAGAGAGGTACTATAAAAGAGAAGGGATGCTGACCTCTCCCTGTGGGGCAGAGAAGCATGTAGATTACATATTCCCAAAGAGGGGAGACCAAGGCATATTTTAAAAAGAAGGTTAAAAAAAGATACACTAATCAGGGTATGGAGAAATTTTAACCCTTGGGCAAGGTGGTAGTTTGAATGAGAAATGTCCCCATAGGCTCCAAGTATTTGAACCCTTGGAGGTACTGTTGGTGGTGCTGTTTGTAGAGGTTTAGGAGGTGCAGCCTTGCGGAGGGAGCAGGTTACTGGGGTGGGCTTTAAAAGTTCACAGCCTAGGGGCTGGAGAGATGGCTCAGCGGTTAAGAACACTGGTTGTTCTTGTAGAAGACCCGGGTTCGAATCCCAGCACCCATATGACAGCTAACAACTGTCCAGTTCCAGGGGATCCGACAGCCTCTTCTGTCCTCCATGGGCATTACATGACATGGGTGCACTCACCTACATGCAGGCAATACACGCATACACATAAAATAAAAATAATAAATAAAATATTTTTAAAAGTTCACAGCCTTGCCCCAGTTCCAGTCCCCCGGCACCCCATCTACCTTCCTCTCTCCCTCCATCCCTCCCTCCTGCGCATGCTTAAAGATGTGAGTTCCCAGCTTTCTACTCTGCCTCCTGCCATGTGCCCCCATCATGGTGGACCATTATCCCTTTGGAACCACAGAGCAAATACACTCTTCCTTCTGTAAGTTGCTTCAGTCATGGTGTTTTATTACAGCAACAGGTAAGTAATTAGTATAGGTTCCAGAGAGTGGGCTGCTGCTATAAATAACCCAATCATTTGTTTTTTGAAGGAATATGGAAGACTTTGGAGGGTTGGATGAGAAAAGAAGCTGAATGCTGCAAGCAGAGCCATGGGCCATTCTAGAAAGCCACAACATACAAAAGCAGCAGCAAATATGATCCCAGGAGGTACAGCTGGCAGCCTTTGTTGGCAGCACTGTTCACGTGGTGCTGGCCTTAGAGACATGAAAGGTGCAAGGGTGAGCGGTCACTGACTTTTTATCTGCAGCTCTACTGCTGAGGCTAGGCAGAGTGTAGCAGGGGCGTCCCTGCATAAAGAAGGTGCTTGGAGGCCAAGAAGCCTTGTAAGATCATTGAATGATGCTGGGAAGGTCAAGCCTGGGTTGTGGTGGAGACCCCAAGACGTCAGAGATGCCAGACTGTGAGATATCTGCCAAGGAAAGCTGCATACAGAGAATGCAAACAGCCCAAGAGAGAGATGAACTTTGCACACAGCATAGCTGGAGGGGTGGAGCCATCTAAGCATTTGGAACTAAAGTCCCAGCCTTTGGACATGGAACCACAGGATTTGATGTTTGCCCTACTGTTTTGGTCTGGTATTTCCTCACTAGGGCTCTAGTCCTCCCTTTTAGAATAGGAAAGTATATTCAGTTCTATTGCATGTTTGAAGTATGTAATTTGTCTTTTAATTTTATAGGGGGTGACAGTTAAGAGAGTGCCTTGGGTCTCAGAAGAGACTTTGAAACTTTGAAGAGTGTTGAGATGTTAAAGACTATGGGGACTTTTCAAGTTGGACTAAGTGCATTTTGCATTATGATATGACCATGAACCTATGGGGATCAGGGAGTAGAATATGGTGAAATATGGTGGTTTGAATGAGAACTATCTCCCAAAGGCTCCAAGTACTTGAACCACTTGGTCTCCAGTTTGCAGAGGTTTAGGAGCAGAGGAACCAAGCCAGTTAGGGTGGGCTTTAAGAGTTCATAGCTTTGGGGGCTGGAGAGATGCCTCAGTGGTTAAGAACACGGACTGTTCTTGCAGAAGACTGGGGTTTGAATCCCAGCACCCACATGGCAACTAACAACTGTCTCTAACTCAAGTCCCAGGGGATCTGACAGCCTCTTCTGTCCTCCGCGGGCATTGCATGACATGAGTGTACTTACCTACATGCAGGCAAAACATGCATACACATAAAATAAAAATAATAATTAAGATATTTTAAAAAAAGAGTTCATAGCTTTGTCCCACTCCCAGTTGGCTCTCCTTCTGCTTTCTGCTTGAAGATGTGGGCTCTCAGTGTTCTGCTCTGGCTGCCTCCTGCCATGATGGACTTATCTCTCTAGAACCATAAACCAAATAAACTCTTCCTTCTCTAAGTTGCCCTGGTGTTTCATCAGCGCAACAGAAAAGTAATTAACACAGGCAATGATTGTGGAAATGCAAAATAGTGCAGCTACTATAGACTGTGCCACAGCAGTTCCTCCAACACTTGAGAATCAAACAGGTTCACTTTTTGAAGGACACACAAAAGACTGAAAGCAGGGAATTAAAGAGACTTTTCACACACATGTTCATAGCAGCATTATGCACAATATTCCAACAGTGCTGGGATATAGTTCACTGCTAGAGCACTTGCCTATCATGCATGAAGCCACAGGTTTAATTCCCAGTATCACCAAAAAAAGAAGAGGAGGGAGGAGGAGGTGAATAAGATAGAAGGGCAGGGTGGGAGGAGGGAGGAGGGAGGAGGAGGAGAAAAACCAAAAAAGAGAAAAGAAAAAAGCTGGTCAAGTATGATCCAGAGCTTGGAGTCTTATTGCCCATGTAGAAAAGCAAGGTGTAAGGGGCCAGAGAGATGGCCCAGAGGTTAAGAGCACATACTACTCTTGCAGAGGACCAGAGTTCAGTACCCAGTACCCACGGAGGGGGAATCTCACAACTACCTGGAACTCTAGCGCCAGAGGGATCTGACACCTCTGGCCTCAGCAGGCATCAGCACTCACACGCACATACCCACACACATACGTATAATTAAAAATAATAGATCTTTAGAAAATGTTTTTTAAAAAGCAAGGTACAGACAGGAAGATCACTAGGGCCCATCAGCCTATTCAAAAAAACTATGAGCTCCAGGTACAGGGAGAGACTCTATCCTTAAGGGAAAATGCAGAGTGACAGAGCAGAACAACTGACATCCTTCCTCCATACATGTGAGCACATGCATACACCACACACATATACCACACACACACATACACCACCAGTACCCCCTACACATAAAGGAAAAAGCACTCAAGTTTCTATTGGTGGATGAATGGATAAAGAAATATGACATATATACATAAGGGAGTACTCTTCAATCTTCAAAAGAAAATTGTCAGGGTGGCTGGCAAGATAAGTTAACAGGTAAAAGCACCTGCTGTCAAGTCTGATTCCCAGAGCATATGGAGGAGAGAACCAACTTCCACAAGTTGTCTTCTGACCTCCACACATGCCCTGTGGCACACATGGACCCACATAAATACATGAATACACACACATACACACACACACACACACTAAATAGAATTTTTAAAATTTAAGTAAATTCTTACTTAGGCTACCAAATGGATGAACCTTCAAAGCATTATGCCAAGCATACTTTGTGACCCACAAAAAAGGAAATGTAGCCCAATTCCACTTATAGAAGTACCTAGAGAGACAAAATGTAGAGTTGCGGTGGCCAGGGGCTGGGTTGGGGCTGGGAAGTGGAGAGTTGTTGTCTAATGAGCATTACCTTTCAGTTTTGAAACAATGAAGGTAGATGGATGGTAGATCAACACCATTGAATTGTGCACGTGGAAATGGCTAGAACAGAAAAGTTTATGTCTATTTCACCATTCTTTAAAGAGAAAAACAAAAGCAGGTAGAATTTCTCCAGGCAACCACAAGATCAGAAGCAAATTCTAGGTAGAAATAGCATAGACGTGAGAGTACCCAGGGGAGGGGACTACGCTGGCCATTTGTTTTTCAGCAGCTTCTTTAAAGTCTTGTGATCATCTTATTTATTTAATATTTCACTGCTAAACTCTGCCCTTATCAGATTCACATCGCCTGGATCCCTACAGGCCTTGTTCAAGGCAAGGAAATACTAGGTCAATGACAGTGAAGTACATGCTGAGCTCCCCCGAGTGGCAGTAATGACTGCCTTATGTATCTGTCCAGGGGTGAAGACCTATACCAGACACAGGTTTACAAAAATATACAGCCTACGGAAAAGTGCAGAGTCAAGGAAACTGACTCCAACATCTGCATACGCACGGGAGAGGCAGTGAGAACAGATGTCCCAGAGAAAAACACATTTAACTAGGCCCTTGATAGATGCGCAGGAGTGGCTCAAAGGCTGGGACCTACCACCAAAAAGATGAAGGGGAAGAAGACTGTGGGGCGAATTGCGGAGCAGTTGGAGGAGGGGTAAAAGCGATACAGTATCCCACAGCAGGCGATAACAGGCTGCAAAACTGCACGTTGGTATCACACAAACAAAGGTTATGTGGCAACACAATCCATTTGCTAGCAGGCTCCTTGCTTGCTTTCTTATCCTTTTTTAATGGAAAAAGAACTTAAACTCCTGCAGTCAAAACTCACTGGGTGAAAAGAATGTTCTTTCCCTCTTTCTAAAATGAACAAAACGTTGGGGTCACAGACCTAAGAGTGAGGCCTCGACTGGGAAAGAGAAAACACCCCTGCACGAACGGTGCCCGACTTCACTTTGGTATCCGCGCCTCTGCTCTACCGCCACTCGCCAGCGGGACAGGATGCAGGGGGCGGGATGCAAGTGGGCAGGTGCAGGTGCAGGTGCAGGTGCAGCGAGCTCCCGCAGCCCCAGTCGCCCGGGTTCGGACCGCTCACCCTTCTCCTTGGTCACGATGGAGATGAGCGGCACCCGTGGGCGGTCACTGAACACCTCGGCCTGCTGCACCAGCGCCTCGCGCACGCTGTCGAAGTCGCTTAAGACCACCACTAGGTGATGGCCCAGGAAGAGGCTGAAGACACTGCCGTAGACGCGAGCCAGCCGGGACAGGAGCACGTGCGGGCCAGGCCCACCCGACTGGGACCCCAGCTCCAGCCAGTACTGCGGCCGCAAGAAGCGGGGCACCAGCACGTGGCCCAGGTTGCCCAGCAGCGGCCAGGGCGTGGGCCCCGGGGGGATGGGGATGCCGTGTGCGCGCCGCAGCCAGCGCCAGCCCAGCAGCGCCGCCAAGACGCACAGCACCAGCGCGCCGCTCCCTGGGGACAGCCACGGACGCGCGGCCCCCGGTGGCTCCGGGGCTGCGGACCTCGGGAACCCGGCCGACGACATGCTCCGCGAATCAGCCTCGGGTTCAGCCAGCTGACGCCACGGCGTCGGCGTCCATCACCCAGGGCCCCCGGCGGGAAGGTCAGGGGCGGGGACAGAGTACGCAGCGCCCACGGGTTGGCTGAGCCGCGCCCTGGATCCGCCTCCTCCAGGCTGCTGTGCCGGGTGAGCGTCCTTCCTCCTGGCGCAAGAGTCCTTAGTCCCTGAGCAGAGAGGCCAGCGATCCTGTACCGTTAGTTTTGTCTTTGAGTGCATGAGTCACAACAGGTTACCCGGAGAGCGAAAGCTTATGGGACTCCATGGGGCCTAAAAAGCGAGAGTCATAGGGTGGGAGGGGCAACAGTGTGATTACTGGCATGAGATCAACCTGAAACCTAAGCTCGTAACGTTAAATGTGACTTGCATAATTGCAAAGGCCTTGAATCCACCTTGGTAATAGCTCTGAGTGCTTACTTTGCTGACTTCTACAGGCCCAAGCTCGTGGTTTCTCGAGATTTGGTTGGCCATAGAATTGTCTAGGTTGGACCAATTTTTATGGCTAATTATTTTGTGGTGCCGGGGATTATATTTTTAAAAATCCAAGGTCTTGTACAGGCTAGAAAGAGTCCTGTCTCTGAGCCAGATCCCCAGTTCCTCCTTTTCCTTCACCACAGACTTGTTTGAAGGCTACAAAGTATAATAAAGGTGTGACCAAAGTACTGTGACGTCTTTTCATTCCATTGACGCATTCTTTTTTTTTTTTTAAATAAGTGATTACAGTGGTGTGCTAAATTTCAAGCCTACAGTTCTCATACTATTTTTGACCTATTTTGTGTTAAGTATATATGTATTTGTTACAGTGAAGAGAAAGCCCCCTTAAGAAAAAACTGGTCAAGAGAATAGAAAGCTCTGGCCTAGTGGAGATTCGGCATTCCAGTTCGGACAAGTCAGTCTTCTGATCGCAGAACGCCCCTAGTTCACCTTAGGCGCTTTACTGAGAAGGTAAACTTTTCCTGCCTTGAACTGGCCTTTTTAAATTCTTCATTAAAAATAAAAACCACACCCTGTCCGTTTATGTGTTCTCTAAGCTTGCTCTCCCTAACACTCTGGACTTCCCCAATATCTTGGACTATATTCTTCCTCTAACACTCCCCTCCCTGCCCTGTGGCTGCTGGTCTGCTTTGTGTCTGACCTCCATGCTCGCTCGGAAGGGGCATTTAAAAGATTTTTTTATTATTTTTATTTTATGTATATGAGTGTATTGCCTGCATGTGTGTAAGTGCACCCGGTGTCATGCAATAAATGACCTCGGAGATCAGAAGAAGGTGTCAGATCCCTTGGAACTGGAGCTACAGATGGTTGTTACCCACCATGTGGGTGCTGGGAATCAAACCTGGGTCCTCTGCAAGAAAAGACAGTGCTCTTAACTGCTGGACCATCTCTCCAGCCCCTAGGGCACTCCCCCCCCCCCTTCTTTCCCTTGTCCTCTTCAGGGCAGCTCCTGGGATTTACAGCCTGCCTGCCTTGTGTTGCGGCCTTGAGACAGGGTCTCACTATGTAGCCCAAACTGGCTTGGAACTCACTATGTATCAGGCTAGCTTCAAACTTGGCAATTCTCCCTAGTGCCGATATTACAGGACTCCACCAACACAAGGGGAGAGACTGTTACGTATTTAAACTGCTTGTTGGCAGAAATGATCTTCAGCATGCCATGTCCATTTTATAGCCTTCTTTCTACAACACTAGCCACTGAACTCTCTCTTTTTTTTTTTTTTTACAAGTAAGTTCAATTAACAATTGATTTTAAAGTGGTTGAAGATTTGCCTAACAACCTCGACAAAGCTCTCCCCGTGTTGGGCAGGGTATAACTGTCTAGTAACATTGCCTAAATGTTCTTATTTTCATAACAGCTCTGTCAGGCAGACAGGAAGTGTTATGAGCTGAGTTGTACCGGTGTGCTGAATTCATATGTTAAAAAGCTAACTGTTAGGGTTCCAAACAGCAGCAGCTTCCCCCCTCCCCAACAGGGACCTACAGACTTTGGAACTCGAAAAAGGGAACTTAGCTGATAAGCACCTTGACCTTTGAAGTCAAGGGAAACAAACTCTGCTGAGAAGCAGCCTGCCTTTCCTCTGACCTCCAAAGATAGGATAAGCAGATTCTACCTGTTAACCAGAGATTTTAGAAGCTGTTTTTCTCTTATCTTAAGAGGGAAAAAGTAAACACTTCCAGACCCTAATCCTACCTGCTTTTCCTGCTTCCCCCTCCCTGATTTCTCCCCCAAACATTCCCCCCTTCCACACCCTAAAGCCCCCATATAT